GCCTATCACGAGCGCTGTGCTCGTTTGACACCATTCCGTAATTGACACAAGCTACAAATAAGTCCCTCCATCGTTTGGATGGCCGGCCAAGAGGACGATTGCGTTTTTTTAGAGTTCAGTTCACAGGTGAGTCTCATACTGTGACCTACGAAATAACTGCAGCTGCGTATACAGCTGATTAACTTTGTTTACGAACACGTCTGCCCAACGTGTAGGTGGACGTTTTGAGAGACGTCTGCATTCTCGTGGAGTCCACTCTACAGTTCTTTTCGTCGATCTATGGTCCGTTCTTTTCATTATATGACCGGCCCATCTACGTTTCGCTATCGATGCATATTCTACTGGATCCTGAAGATGTGACAGATTTCAAGATCAGAACTTCACATTCCGGCTTGAAGTTGTACGTGCCGGTCAAATTTCAGAAAACATCGTCCAAGTGCTCCATGGCTATTGAGTAGAAATCTTATGTGGTTGGTGGATCAGCCCACGTCTCTGCTACATAACGGAGTGGTGACGAGGATCGTTGACCTTAAGAGATGAGCATGGAGTTTCGGGTCTGTTAGTTGGACTGTGTTTTCTATGACAGGCCCGAATGCGATCAGTGCTGCTTTATTTCTTCTGCATAATTTCCTCTCCATGTTATTTTCCCTTATCAATGACGCTCAAGGTACTCCGACAAGGCGGTCTATTTAATCAGAGGACCATCCAGCACCATTTGTTCACCTCCACATCATCGGTTCTGAAATAGGTTTTCATCCTATTGCTGCGCACTGCAATCGTTTTCACCGTTCCGTTGAGCTTATTGAATATCGTTTCTGTTTGACTGGTACTTTTGAGAAGCGATATCGTTAGTAAAACAAAAATTTGACAAGAATTTTCGATCAATGCGTATCCCCTCCTGATCACAGTCAGGCTACTATCCACATCATTGCAGCTGCGAACAACCTTGCCGAAATAATGTTGCCTTTTTGAACTTCGTTTCTATGGGAATGGTAAGTAGTCGGTCGAAAAAGCTATGTTTTTGTGTTCTGGTTACGAGAACAGTCCGCTAGAATTCGTATACAAGACATGTACTTCCCTAGGTCGACGTTTGCTGACAGAATTACGTTCGTTCAGATTCTGTCAAATGCTTTGTATAGTAGGCGAAATGCCCGACAAGGCGGAAATGGTGATTTCGAGTGGCCTCTTTGTTCCTGTACACGGTTATTGTGTGGTCTGTGTGGCAGATTTCTCGTCGGAATCCTTTTTGCTCAACTGGTTGCGCCTCATTTAAAGCTCGTGATATGCGCTGTGTGATCAACTTTATGTGCAGCTTAAGCAATACATTCAACAAGAATATCAGACTCTAGTTAAGAAGATTTCCTTGATTGATCGTCTTAAACGGGATTACCATACGCGACGTTCTAGCATTCTGAATCACCAGTCTGATATTCTTGCGATTCTTTCCTATTCAAGGTAAGATTTCACATGGGTTGAGAGCTGCGCATCTGTTTATGTTTTCTATCACATTTCGACCGTCATACGGAAGAATTTCGAGCTGTTTTTCTCTGGTGGCGGGTTTATTTTTTGAGACGGTGATTGCAGGAAGGAGGAGATTACTATAGAACCTTTTTGTTACCAACTAGACATCATGGAGAGAAGTAGTGATAGTCCCATGTTTCCTAGAACCGACTTTTATTTAATCTCAGTACAAATAATTAATACTTTCTTTTGTTATTAAACTGACATGTGAGGTTGGTATCAAATGTTAATTCGGCTAATGTTTCGACGTCTTCGTCTTTTCCAGAATTCTGTATAAAAGCTTATTGCCGAGTGAGACTCTTCATTTTATCGGTGTTCGACTTTATTCTATTCAACTCGGTGCGGTAATGATCACCCACTTAGAGTGGACGACCACCTGTGGATCATCGACTTGAGTCAGTGTGGTTCTAAAGAGGATGAAAACGTCGAAACGTCGGCATAACAGGTGTTTCATATCAATCTCGAGCCCCATCTTCGCTCATATAGTGGAATACTATAATCGCACAGATTAATTAATGCGTGCGTTTAATACGTGCGACAACCCGTAACACTATTGATTTTGAAAATCCATATTTTAATGGAAGGTTTACGATTTAACCTAACCAGTATCTAGGTTGAATGTTGCTCCATCCAGTTATGGAGAACGGTGATTTTTAGCTACTACTGAACAACTATTACTATTATTAGTATTATTATTATCATTATTATTATTAATATCATTGTTATCATTATTATAACTGTTATTATTATTGTTGTTGTTGTTATTATTATTGTTATCATTATTATTATTACTATTATTATTAATATTATTATTATCATTATTATTATTATATTATACTTCACTACTAGCTACTCGAGGAAGTCTAACGCGGTGTGCACCCCGCAGAGATTGGTCAAGTAGAGCCATGCAAGAAAGTAGAGATTCGAGAGTGTTAAGCACAACGGATTATGTCCAGACGATGAAGGAAAATACTGAACTATTATATTACGCAATTACCAAATGACGTTTTGTCCTAATTTCACGCACTTAATAAAAGCTTTTGATTTGGCTAAAACAGAAGCAATAACAGGTGTTCCAATCATAACATCCCTGCTCAGCACACAGTGTCCTACTAGCTTATGGCAGTTTCACATCCTCAATTTTATAATCATTCAACATTGAAATAAAGAATGGAATGAAATATGATGATGACGTCTTGTGAAAAATATTCTGCACCACTCCTTAGAAAGCTAAGACAAAAATGCAGTGGAATAGAAAAAGAGTGAAAGTCGATGGCTAATAACTTCATTTACTTGACCATTTAGTTACACTGCACAGCACTCAGGCAGAACAAGCCCTTGTAGATACCGCTTTGAGTTAAACCGAAACAGAAATACTCTGGTAAGAAATGAGCTTGTTCCCAATACTATTTCTATACATAAAATGGGTTATTTCTCCTACTATCATTTGGACTATGGGTTGTGGTCTGGTGAAGAAAAAAAAACCAACAGAAGTGAACAACCCATTTTGTATTTCTTCGGCACCGCTGTTCTTCCACTTCAGCGTATTCGCTGTAAATCTAGAAGCTTTGCAGAGGTAACACGAAAACACTCAGTGGTAGTGGTATTGAGCACGACACCGAAAAAGCGATTCCAAGATTATCTCTTGTCGCAATACTTACTAACTTGGTTACTTGGATTGCCCGTCCTCACTGGTTATGCAGGCCCATCATAATTTCCACTTTTTAGAAGCACTGCTATTTTAGTTATTGTGTTTCCCTTCAGTGCCGACGTAAGCCTGGCCAACGTTTGCCATAGGTCTTCACCATCACAGGAAATTGCTCCCCCTGTGGATCAGTGGGAGCTTTCCTACCATGCGACTAGTTTGGTACCAAGACGGTGATGGATGCAAACGAGACGCCAACGACTGCGTCATTCAGGGTGCCAGGAGCACAAAAGGTAGACGAGCAACCTAATGCTTTAACTTGTCACAACGTATGCTACAATAAAGCAGTGCTTTTCATGTCCTTTGACTAAACCCAACACATTGGATAGCTCTGGAACACGATAGGAACGAAAGAACACTATTTTACGGACAAGCTAGTCAGCTGATGATTAGAAGAGGAACGCATAACAGATCACTACTTCTCACCTGCCCTGACATGAATATCACTACTCCTAACGGTAGCATTTTCTTGGAAAAAGTACCAATATTCGCCAAGAACGGATGATCACTTATTTTGGTATTATTGAGCATTTCTATGTTAGAAGAAAGCCAGTTTAATTGTTATCCTACATCATTCTTCTACGAATACACTTTTATATTCCACTTTTCGCGAGTTTTTTTTTTTCAGAAAAATGTCACTGTTACGTTAAATGTCGAGTAAAGGACATGTTTTTTCATAGAGGCAAAATGTAAACCACAGAAGAAATTTGAACATTGCAACGATTTCATGGCGCCTCACTTAGTGGATAGATAACGAAAACCAGATGCGGAAAACGTTTTCCCCAAGCCGTAAACGATGGTGTTTGTAATCAAAATATAAATCTTAGCTATAAAAATGCTTTGTCACTGTAGTATTGCACTCAAGGTACTAAAAGAAAACATTCATTAGTCCTGACTGATGTTAATGGGAAGTGAAATTACCGACAATTGCACTCAATTGTTACTTGAAAGTCCGCTTTAAAACAGTTCAGTTAACACCAGCAAGCATTAAAGAAGATTTCTTTGCTTATAACCCGACTACATCGACATTGAGTGATTGTGGATTTTCATACCAGCACAAATCACTGGTAGCGTTTCACAATGTACGTAAGTAAATGGCTTTATCTTGCATGTAATACGATACCACGCTTGTGAAAACATAAATAAATGATTGCTTTTAAAGAGATTACTATGGAAGTCAAGCCGACTGAGAATATTTACATTGACGCTTATAATAGCTGTCGACTTTTTCGTGTGGTATAATAATCAATTCACGCCTTATCCGAGCCAGCCAGGATGCCATAAAAGCAAGGATAGAGGCGGTACGAGCCTCTCTATGCTCACGATATCCGCTAGCGCTCACACCACTATATCACAACGCATGCATATATATATATACATACATACATACATGCATACATACATACATACATACATACATACATACAACATACATACACGCATACATACATGCATATAAATACACACAGACACACAGGCACACACACACATACCCAAAAACACATACATGCACACATAAACACACCACATACACATACACTACCTATACACACGCATTGCTATCCCCATTTCGTATCATCAATAAAGCGGTACGCACCGTTATGTTTATGTGGGGAATTTCCCTCACATCCTAACGCATATCAGTGTATTAATGAATGTCTTCATACCATTTATAAGTCTGATTCTTTTCAAAATTCGGAGTATTCGTCCAGTTTTCGCATCTGTCTGCACTCACAATTCTATTCAGAAGAACGCCGACGATCTTCATTTATATATGCCACCGTCTATGCAAAAGCCTGACTGTGCATCATCTGTTCGTGATCGTGTATTGGAAATTGAACGTAGTCATATCGAATCTGAGAATTCGGTTATTCGTGCTCGTTACGTTCCTGATGTTCGGGGCGTTAATCGTTATAAACATTTTCATGTGTAAGTTCATTTATACCTTGATTTTTTGCGCATTAGTCCCGTTTTTCTCTTCTTTAGTAACTTATTTAGGAATATGTCTTAATGGAATAGTCATATATTCATGCGATGTTTCTTTTTCTTTCCTTTTTCAAGTCGGTTGAAAATGTTAGCGAGTTGTACGCGACCCCATGCATTATGTTACTACCCAACATTAGATTTATGTCAGTTGATAAGAGGAATAGTAACTGCTTTATATGAAATGACTGCGAAGGAATGCCGCATTCAGCGTCAATACAACAACGAAGAATCCACGACAAGAAAAAACAATCCACAAAGAAATCATTACAGATCTACCACAACTCTCGCAGTCAATAAGGTATATAGCAGTTCTTGTTAATCATAATACAACAGCAATCATTCAGTGCACCTCCTAGTTTTTTGCACTTAAATCCTCTGTATCGATCTAGTCATTCAGATAGTTCCAAACAAAATAATTTTACAAGAAATGATAGTTGACCCCATAGACAGAATAAGGTAGGGTAAGATAGAATGACATCTACATTTAGCTAGTTGAAGTCTCGACAATACATTAAAATATGTTTTGCAATGATGAATGACACATGACATATCCATCCAATCCGAGAAATTAAACACTTAACTTATAGTAGTAATAACAGTGCCTACGTAGTACGTAATTAATAGTGGATTGATTTCATATTAAATGTCAACATCTGTCAAGTGATTAACAAATGTGATAATCTTCTCGGGTTCATCAGAGCAATGCTTATTTTTAGTTCATCACTCTTTTTTCAACTCTTAACCTTTAGGACGGGCGCTGTTCATCATTTCATCACTGAATCTAATGACAACGGTGTCGAAAAAGGTACGTAACTATTGTTCTTCTCTTTTAGTTTCTTAGGTAAATTGTCAGATCATTGACTCATAAAGACTACTCTGCTGACTAGTAATTCAATCTATCATGTCATTACCGTCTTTAATTAAAGCAATTCCACTTTAATTCTATAATTTGGACATATAGACTATTTTTTGTTGAGCTTATAGGAAAGCGAAGTAAGAAATCGATACTTCCACAACTTGGAACAGTGAATTTATTTACGAAAACTCAAAAGGAGAAGAGTATTAGCGATCATAGTAAGCAGTAATCTAATAAAATACATTTGAATATTGCTCATTTCCTACTGGTTCGTAACGGAATACACTTTTAAGTCAGTGAAGAAACGAAATCGGGATTAACGTCGTCTGATTCCCTGTCATCGTCAACGGCAACAACAACGACAGCACGACCGATGCTATCTGCACGAAAACTACACGATCGCTTACTATCGATTCACCACCACCACCACCAACAACAACAACAAACCAGTTAGATAAATTTCTTTATGAGATATTTGTAGCAGTATTGAATTATTTGTCATGTTCAGCTCTGAGAACGTTTGCCTCTTTTGAAGCTGCTAAGGATGGCATCGCTAACATCTGTTGCGTCACCGGCGGCGACGATATCACCAATAGCGACGGCACCACTAACGACGATAGAATCACTAACAACGATGGCAGTACTAATAACGAAATAAGCGAAGTCATCAAGTTACCTGATAAAATTCAAGAAACTACTACTCTTAACTCCAAACCAAGGTTATTTTATAATTTCATTAACGCTTTTACTCTCTAAATATAATAAAAACTATAATAAAAATAAGTGATAATATACAATGCATTAATCAATCTCATAGCTATACTCATGCATTTCTACTCTATTGGTAGCAACGTAGACACTATTGAATGCATATTTGGTCCATATAGTCCTAGCTATAGTGACTTTCACAGCCTACTGTCGTACTAAGATGCTGTTTCTACCGTCCTCGAGAGGTCTTGTACTATTAAGCCAGCCGTAGTGGTATGAAAGGTATGGTTTGACCGAGGCGCGGAACCGAACCAATGACCACTTGTGTACTGCAAGGCACTTTTACCAATTGTACTGCCTGCATTAGAATGATCATGACGCTTTCAAAATCTCTATAAGGATCTCCCAGTAAATCTTGATTACAATCTTCCCTCTGTGATCCCTTTTCTCTACGCACACCAAGTGAAAAGGCAAATCGAAAACAAAGCTTTCCAGTTAGATGTTCTTTTATGACAACAGAATTTTCTATCCGTTTTGCCATTGTCATTTATAATCCCAAATAACGTTCGTCGTTTGTAGCCAGAACTCAAAAAGCGTTCTACTTTTTCGTTAGAGCAATATCATGTTCCTCAATGATTGTCTTCGTACTGATTGACGTCATTGAGTGCTCGATGTTAGTTTAAATTACTGACACCGATTTATCTAATCCTGCACTTTTCAAGCATTTCTTGATGGTATTTTTTATACTCCACTCGTTATGAAAGAGAAATTAGACCTTTACTCTATCAGGAGTTAGTTAAAGTAGTCGTCTTCGTGAATGACTTCTTATTGAACACATAACTAGTTTTTGTTACCACTGGATTGTAGGCAGCATAAATCATTGAATAAAGCTCTCAGCGTTGATGAATTCCTGAAGGGTACGCCATTCATTCAACTTCATTAAGCATCGTTAGAGGTGACTGAATGCGTATCTGGCCTATACAATGACTCACGGTGGCCTACCTATGTACCGAGTCAGTGCTGCTATCTTCCTAGTCAGGTATGGTATAAATTTACCGAACCCGAAAGGATGGAAGCCTTGGTGAGCCTGGGACGTGGGATCGAACCCCTGTGTATAGCAAGGCTACCCTAAACAATTCACCACACAGTAGTAAATCACTATTTCTCTGCCTGTGTTAGATCTCTTCTTTCCTCTCCTCTCTTCCAGTGCACGCATGAATAACCATTCGAAAACGTGTTTCTCATAAGTGCCTACATTGCATATGAAATTTAAACACAGTGGTATTATTTTTTTTATGCTATTTGAACTCCATTCCACAATTGACTCTTCAAGAAAACTTTCGCTTTAATCGAGATTCTTCAGAACGGTCGAGCATCAAAGAGAAGATACTCAACACTTTCTGATGAGAAATCGTATAGAAACGGCTACACAAACACAAGTTAGTTGACGATTTTTGCAGAAACTTTAGCAATACTTTATACTGCAACCTAATCAGTTAATGGAACTTCTATCACAAATATGTTTTCTCCTACTACTATGTAATCATTTATTTGCTAGCGATTCAATAGCGGATCGTTCGGTTTAAGCGCTTTATGACGTTCAATAGCTTCATTTGGAAATGAAATTCGTAGTGTTTTTGTTGTCAACGTTATTCGGCTATGAAATGATTTGTTCTTACATAAGACGAAATAAGAAGCAGTTAAGCAGCTGATATGATGCTTAGTGTGATTAAATAATAGCGAATTGGACACTAACACCAATAATCAGCTATTTACCCTGTGAATTTATTGAAGAGAAAGTACATTATTATTGGAATTGCTAAACCCTCCACTATCAACCGATATTTCATAAGTAGTTAATTATACATAATGTTTAAAAATAGCCTGCACCACACTAAGTGCAGTTGTTTTCCTCAAAAACTGACGACGTTACACGACACTAATCACTCCAAATATTCGAAACCGGAAAGTGCAGGATTAAATTCAGAAATCAGAATTGTATAGACACATAACGAAAGCCTAAGTCATATATAATTTGAATGTTATGGATCTTTCAGTTTCTATTCTATGTGTGTGTTTGCGTTTGTGTGTGTGTGTGCGTGTGTGTGCATATATATGTGTGCGTATGCGTATATGTGCTTACGTGTACGTGTTTGTGTGTGCTTTGTACATGTACCTGTATGTTTTACATATGTATACATATACATATAAATCTAAATACGTTTATCGGTGTGTGTGCATTTTTATTTGCATGGGTGTGTGGGCACTTGTGTTTGCATATGTGCACGTTTTTTGTAGCCTCGCGGCAAAATCAAGTTTAAGCAGACGTGTAAACGGGTACGCAACCTTAAATGAATAGTTCAAATAACAGATAAAGCTCTCAGCGTTGATCAATCCCTGAGGAATGCGCCTTTCATTCCACTTCACTAAACATCGTTAGAAGCGTTTGAATGCATATGTTGCCTTTACAATGACTCGTAGTGGCCTATCGATGTATCGAACAAATGCTACTATCCCCCTAGACAAGTCTGATACCAATTTACCGAGCCGGAGGCATGGAGAGTTTGGTGAGCCTGGGACATCGGGACCGATCCTATGTGTATTGAAGTGTGCCTCCGACCACTGCGCTACACTTCCCCCCGTTTAAATAAAACGTTAAAAGCCTTCAATTTTCTTCCTATAGTTTTGCTATTGATATTCGTTACCAAATCATCTTCCATAATTAATAAAATTTTAGTCCTTGAAAAACTGTCTGTTTAAAATCCCAAATGTGAAAAATTACAGTAACGAAAGGAATAAAGTGCACAAGAATGTTGTCTGAATCTGTACAAATGTTGTCTCTCCTGAAAAACGCACCTATTGCAAGCACCTAATGAAGAACTTTTCTCACAGTTACTTATACTGAGAAGCCAATAAGAAAAGGTTTTAGACACATTTACAAGCAGTGTCAGTTTTCTAACAACTGTTAGCAACGTTTCGAAAACTTAAGTATTCGTCCTTTTTCAAGTCGATGAGAAACAAATTGGTTCATGGATCCGACTAGACGTAGTATGGCGTGTTAAACCGCTTTAAGCGAACTGCGAAAACTGTCCGATGTTCCGAGAAGAAAATCACACTTCCCTATTCGCTAAGATAACATGCTTTCCAACGGTTTACCGCCTCAACGTGGCTGAAAAGTGTTCCTGGGTGTCAAGCTGCTATGTGCAGCGGAGGAATTCGTCCCCCCGGCAAGGTCTCCCAAGCTGAGGAGTCTAGCATTTTTATCAGGAAGCCTAGCTAAGAGTAAACCAAACCAGGATCCACCACTGTGCTGGTATGAAACTAGTCGCATAGTGGGAAATCACCCTCTGATCTACAAAGGCGGCGACTGCCTCTAGTGGTGACGACCTAGAGCAGGCTTTTGCCAGGCTGACCTCGGGACTTCAGGGAACCACATTAACTAAGCCGGCAAAACTCCAAAAAAATAGAAATTATGTTGGGGCACGCTCAACAAGTGAAGACGGGCCATCCAAGTATCCATGCAAGTACTATGACTTGCCTTTTTTGGGTAAATATCTGTAAATTTCGATGGTTTTTATTCCTGTTTATGGAATCTGCTTTGGGGCAAGATAAGCTTTTTGATGTCGAACGTATAAATTATTGTAATCTATTTATTACCATAACTTACTATCAATAACTTATGTCGTCGCGAACGTACTGATTTGCGCTAAAGTGTTTCATCACTGTAATCTTAACCAACGCATTTAACCAGTATGGTTCACCTTACGGCCCTCGTCATTGCGGAAATACATGTAGAGGTGATGGAGATCATGAAAATTGCAAATAATGTTAACTTTGTATTTGCTGCCTATTAGTACTTTTCACACTAGTGCATGATGTGAAATACAACCACAGCGATGCTGAGATATTTGTAACACCTGGACGCCACGCCAGATTCGAGCCCGCGACTACTGTTTCCGGGGCTCACGTGCTAGTTTCCTACCTAATAGAGACATCAGCAATTACAGGTAGTACGATATTTGCATTGTGTTAAATATTACATATCGAACAATAATACATCAGCTCATAGTGAACGTTATCAATTAAAATAAAAACCACTAAAATTTACAGACCTCTGTTAAGACGATTTTCAAAGCTTATCAAGATTAATATCCCATTTTTTTATCTATGGAAATGAATTTCTAAGTTTCTGGAGGACAAAACCCTCTTTACCCGTTTCATCGAAACTTCTGTGTAGAATGACGTAGCAGTTGAACAGGCTGGATTTTATCAAGCAAAACGTGAACACATTGCCAGTGTTAACAGTTGCTATGCTTAAGCTAAAATTTTAAAATTTCTCTGTGTAGAATCAAAAATGCTTTTAAATACACTCGGTTCTTCATAAAAAGGAAAAAATGAAAGCCAAAACTATTGGCAGATATTGAATAAATCGATCGTAAGCTGTTTGACATTGAAAGCGTAAATGAGATTCCAAGCACATATGTATTGAACTCAATGCGCACCATTGTGATCGGATTTAGAAGCACAATATGTGATCCAGCGATGATTTAATTCGAAAACTGCAATTCTAAGAAAATATATAGCACTTTGGTGATTAATAGCAACCTTTAAAAATATTTTCACTTTATTTTCACGTGTTCTCATTTCATATTATAAAATACCGAATATGTAGATCAAAACAGTCAGAGTTGTGCATCTTAACCGCTCTAGCTATATGCTAGATTTCATAGGCAAATGGACACTTTCTATACAATTTCATTCATTTCTTTTTCTTAAGGAAAATGCAACAACTACAGACACTCATTCTACGCATGTTGATTGTTATGGTGAAGGACGTAGTACACAAACGGATTCCTATCCTATTGTTGTAAATCTACCACGATGCAAAAACAGCAAAGTGGTTGTCAATATGGAAGATGTAAGCTAGTTTAATATAGCTTAGAGAAAAACAAAGGAAGGACCTTGGCCGGTGTAGTAGCAACACGTAAGACCTCAGAAATGTAGCCGCCGGTTCGAAGCGCATCTGAGGTTCCGAATTTTGTTTATATAACAGCGCTCTTCCGGTTTATTTCATATCATACCTTGCCATAAAAAAATAATAGGCAGCAAACAGAAGTTAAGACAGCAGAGCAATTCATTTTCTTTCATTTTGTATAGTATAACTGATGTTTTTGATGGATTTTATACATATGAATGATTGAAACTCAACAACTTAACACTATTTGCGTAGCTTGAAGCGGTACCGAATTTTGTCATTCATTAAGAGCTTAGGAATCTTATGAATATGCAACAGATAGGATGCAATCCCCTCATCATCCCTGTAAATGTTGTCTGGACCCAAAAATTGACTTTAAAATCTTGTATATTCAGTTTTTTCTTTTAAGCTTTTGTTTAAAGGCTTGACTTTGCTTATGACACGACCACATTTATACTCTATGATATCTCTAAACCTACTCGCTTTTATAGAATTGTACATAGGATTTTCGAATGAATAAGAGTAACTTTTACTAGATTGAAGAGCGTGAGGCATTATACCAAGTGATCGAGAACGCCTTAGGCGAGACAATTGACCGATACTCACGACTTCGTACTAATCAAATTATTGCTAACAGTGCTCGAAAGCAGGTAACAAGTTATTATTTCCAAAATGTACTAGAAAACAAAGCGGAATTTTTGTGCATAATACACAGCTATGCGATTTCAGGGCCAAATTTGGCGTGATGCAAAGGATTTCATTGCTAATCAACTTGTTCCTCAGTCCATTCAATTGGCAAGTAAAAGCCAATCAAGGAGGAGGACGGCAGTTGAAATTGTCACAAATATTAGAAGTTTTCCATAAATATGCACGTAAAGTATCAAGGACATCGACTTAACGAAAAATTCCAAGTACGACGTCAAACACCTTTGCAGCCTAATCAATACGTACATTTTACAGTGTTGGCAGACGTAAGTATACCTAACATGCGTGGAACGTCCTTATGAGCCCAGGTCTAGTCTTGTAGATAGTTGTTATAGCAGTTTTCTCCTTACGGCAAATCCGTTAGCGTTTTTTTAGATAAGTTGTTACAGAAAAGCATATGATATCAAAATCAGAAGACAGACCTATTCAAACCTCGTGATTATGTATAGTTTGTTATCATACATAAGCCAGATGTTTCTCTATAGCTTCCATACTTGCTCACATAAGACCTTCCAGTACATTAATACATAATAAAAAAAATTGTTTTCACTCATAAGACACTGTACTTCCTATACTAGGAACTCCACATAAAAAACAACGATTGTCATGTTAAAAGGTCATGAGACAAAAAAACAGTCCAGAAAAACAATACTACTGGAGTAAAAATAATATATTTTTCACGTTGTTTAAACTTTCGAAAAAAAGTTGGAGCAAATATATCACCAGCACAGTTCTTCTAAACAATAAGGAAATGGAGAGTCTAAACTTCCAGATAGCAAAAAGTGCACGCTCCTGATAGATTTGTTACAGCGCAGGTTTTACGACTGCTGCCAATTTTACCAGAACTCACTTGGAAAAGGGGTACCATTATAACAGTGATTCTATTCAGCATGACAAAGCCGCTGGTTCAAGACCCGGGTCCAGCAAACCTTCCATAATTCAGGAGTTGGGAGTGTTTGTGGACTCGTGTGGGATTACCTCGTTACGTCGAACGGACACGAAACTAACGAGCAACCGTGATGAAGAAGTGGTGACACCCTAGTACAGCTATTTAAGGCTTACAGAGAATATCTACTTGATTAGCATTCAACAACTAAACACGAAGACCAAAAATCCTCAAGCAGTAATGGAACAGCCTCGGAAAAGCCGGAGAAATCTGTCGATGACTAGTGTGGGTAAATAAGTGGAACAGAAAAACTGCAGGGATCTGCGCAAAAAGTTAGACAACGAATCGTCTATAATAAAAAAAAATAATAAGAAATTAAAGGTGAGATTTCTTAAAATCCAAATTTTCCACATAAACGGTGCAATTGCGGGCATCATCGCAACCTCCTGAACAAGATCCCGCTTGTTTAATTTCTTTGTTGCACAAAACAACAACTCACACGAAAAAAATATGGAGAAAAAATATGAGATCTAGGCTCTCGAATCTAAAAAAATTCAGCCACTCAGGAAAAAAAAGATTCTGACCACTTTTATTGAAGTTAACAAAGTGAGCAGAGATGTGCTGCTCTGAAGTTTCAAGGAGTAAGCACTACTGAGCAATTACGTATTGAAGTGAATGCACATCGTCACAAATGTGGTGAAAGGATTACTTGATTACTTGATTACTTGACGAGCACTGAGCAAACGAATTATTTAGAAGATTGTAGGATTCTTATTAGCTTCGAGGACAAAACAAAAGGCAAACATAAACGTGACGCTCTAAAGTCACAGTTCATTACGGTCAGCAAATTTTTTTTCCATATGAAAAAAGAAGTGAAGGTAGAGAGGATATAACGTTCAGCACTGAACAAATACGTTATGCATTGAACTCCACGCATCGAGACCAGTGCTCTATAGATATGGCGATGCCAATATTTTAACCATCCAAGACCAGCCTGGTATCAAATGACCCACTCTGAAAGGATATATGCCTTAGTTGATCACAGAGGTCCTCTAACCACCAGGCTACAGCAGCTCACATTAAAAACTAATCCATTTAAAACCAAAAATTGTAAAAAATTTAAATCTAAATTTTTAACTACTGAGGGGATAAATAGCCATGGATACCCATCAGTGATCCACTATCGTGCCTTGTTCTTCGAAATCCAAACAGTTCAATAACTTCTGTACTCGAAATACCGTAGTCAACGAGAAAATCACGTTCCCCGAGCTCGAAAGGCTTAGGAAATTGTGCAGAGCAAAAACTTGAGACTTGTTGGAAGAAAAAGCTATAAATTCTAATAGCTTTTACTTCAACTAATCACGTGCACTACGATTTGGGATATATTCATTTAAAGCTCAGAGGCAATATTATTTTTGCGCATGCATTCATTTTGATCAGCGTGTACCGTTACCTATGTGTTCAAACAGGCATCTGACACACATACTAAAGAACAAAAACTTACAAACACATGATATCTGGATATCGAACGACACGGTTAAAAAAAAATAGAGCTCTCGACGTTGATCAATCCCTGAAGAATGCGTCATGCATTCGACTTCACTTAAGCATCGTTGGAGGTGATTGGACGCATATCTGGCCTTTACAATGACTCGCGGTGGCCTACCGATACATACAAGCAGTGCTGTTATCCTCTCAGACAAGTCTGTTACCAAGTTACCGACCCCGGGAAGATGAAGGCTTGGTAACCATAGCACGAGGGGATCGATATCGTGCGTATTGCAGGGCGCCCCGACCACTGCGCTACACGCGCCTAATGACGAGTTTATGATGACCATTTACAACTAACATTAGCCGCGATTTTGCTAAAGGGTTGAGCGATCCTTGCAGGAATCAGTAAGATCATCAGTGGTCGACGTACTGTGTCATAGCTGTTCAGTACACATCGATAACCAATTAACAAAGGACACAAAGAACACCACTTAAACCACATATCAGATTTTCTAATCTTAAATTCTAAACAAAAACGTATCCGAGAACTTTCAAGACACTCCCGTTGGATCTAAGTACACCCACCAGCAGACTGTTGTTAAATAACAAAAATCAAAGAAATCTTACAGAAACTGTGGAAGTGAATTTGACGTGAATGTTTCTTGTTTATCGGTGAATAATTTCCAGTACTTTTTTTTCTTCATGCAGTATTCGTGAGTTTTTCGACCTTTAAGATTGAAAACGACAATTACAAAGACATGAAAGAATATTCATTTTTACATCCTGACTTGGCGACTATTAAAAGAGAATGCTTATAACGATAATGCCGGAATCACAATTATTACTACTATTGTGAATACTACGACGCAGCTTGGACTAAGAATATAACATCGAAACCAGCATAGCTGAGTGAAATTAATGAAACTAGTCAGGATAATCACCCACGTAGTGACCATACGAAAACAACGTGAGAGGAAACTGAAACTTGAAAAATCTGACGGCGATAATTCGGACAATGAACTCGCAGATGGCTAAAAGACAAATACAAGAAAATATTAAAAACACCCGCACAAAGAACAAGAAAAATTGGAAAAGTATAAAGAAAGGATAGAATGAAAGTATTAAGAAAGCTCTTACATTGAAAATCGATAACATCGATAACTGAATCAAATAAATATAACACGCCAAAAAGTTTGACAATGCTCATTTAAACTGACGCATTGTGCAGGCCGATCAACATTCGTTCAACAGGCTCTGATTCTCGCAAATGGAAAAACGAGAGAAAGAGATGAAAACAAAAAGAGGAAGACAGAGAGGAAAAAAGGAAGGGAACAGAAAGCGTGAGAAATAACGAAAATTCGAGGGCTTGCATTTAAAAAAAAAAACGTACTAAAGTATAACTTAGTAAGGCACGGAAAATGCACATATAGAACATGAATGACATGTTAACTAATCATGCAGATTATTAGAGTTCGAGCAAGTTCGTTTATCAGAAGGATTTAACAAAAAAAAAGATGCTGGAGTTTCGATTTACGTAGACTTCAAGTCGGCCTTCAGAAAGTGACGTGATAAACTGGACGTCTCAGCTAAAAAAAATAGCTTTTGTTTATGAACTTGCCTTAGATAAAAAAGATATCTGCACATAAACTAAGAACGTTTTTCAGTGGACCAGTTTCTTTTCATTAACACTTTCGTGACGAAGGAATGACACGTATAGAAGTCATCACGGCTTTGCGCTGGTGGCCGGTAAGACACTCATAGGTAATAAATAAACATGTATGGCTTCAAGATGGAGCAGTTGATGGCCCTTTTAAAAGAATGTTTGAGCTGCACAATCTTCAAATGGTCCGGAAAGTACTACGCTCAAATAAGAGGGTTGGCAATGGGAGAACGACTGGCACCAAGTCTCGCCATTGCGTTTATGTCTAAGGTGAAAGCACCGGTGACTGATCTCGGCTTGTTACTTTACTGTAGATATATAGATGATTGTTTTGTCCTTTGCTCAACACAAGAGGAAATGGACAAATGTTTCGAGTTGTTGAACGAACAGTTAGAGTATATCAAGTTCATCCGAGAGAAGTCGAAGGAAAACTGGTTTTCATTCCTTGACGTCCGAATTAACCTGTCAGAAAATGGCTACATTACGAAGTGGTACCGAAAGTCAAGTAGTAAAAACCTCTTGGTTCATTACCTCTCTTCTCACCCCTCTCACACGAAAAGGGCACTTGTAAGAAACATGTTTTAAACAGCAGCCAACGTGTGCACGGGAAGAGAACAGAGGAGTCCCGGAACTTGGGCTCCCAAACGACAACTCTAGCGATAAAAAGGTCCCGTTTATTCTACCCTTCATCTCAAATGATGTAAGTGCAGCAATAAACCTGTTATTCTAATGAGAGAGGCACATTACGGTTCCATGTCAATTCTGTGCGGTTGGTCTCCACGTGACATACTCAATGGAAGACTCATAGAAAGCGGTGAGTGTGCGAAGAAGCTATTCTGCATTAAATGTGATTGGAATCTTGGATTAACGTTTTCTCTGTTTGGTTATGGAGGTGTTTGGACGAATAGATTGCTGTCAACTTGACCTTTCCAGGTTCTGAGGAAAGCGAAATCCTCCGAAACTTCAGCTTATTCGTGAATAAAGAGTAAAAATAACACCTCGCGCTTGCTCAATAAGAATACGAAGAATTACTCGATGAATGCCGAGGTTAACAGAAAGTCGGTCGTAGGACTTATACGTACCATTTTCGTCTAGACGTATATAAGATTTTTTCCTATACTTCTTCTAATCAATCTATGCCTTATTTAACGCGGATGCTATGGTGGGTGTCGCCTATGGGATTGGTGGGTGTCGCCTATGGGATTGGTGAGTTTCGAGAAGAACACTGCAGTCACATAATCTGAAGCTCTTATAAGGAAAAAAAGAGTTCCTTTGCCAAGATGAAGGAATTTCGAATAAATGTAACACAATCAGCTTCTGTCAACCGAAACCAACACACCGATGGTTTCATGCTGCCAAACTCCAAAGTTTGCAAAACCATTCAGAGAAAACGCTCTAAAAGTAGCAGAAAAAATTCTATATAACAACGTTCCACCATATATTGTAGAAATGACATTTAGAACAATTTTGTTAGTCGATTGGGAAGTTACGCCGCCACAGCCATGTTTAATCTTCACCGAACTTTGTCGCTTACGATGATCGCCACCTCGGGACCATTAAGAATCTCTGCTGAATAAGCCCACCAACGACTGAGCACAAAACGAAAATGGCGTCAATCATTTCATCGCTTCGCAACCGTCACCGCACTTGACTAAGCAGTTATATCGAGCTGATAACCACGATTTCGATCTACGTGACCGACAAATACAACAAATATATTATAAATCAAAAGTGCCTGTAGATCTCAATAAAGTCTTGAATTTTGAAAAATCTGGTCATAGTGTCGTAAAAATCACCAAGACAACCGAACAGCTGCAATACTTTAGTTCCTTCTACGAGAATAGAAAGTGACTTGAGTAACCAAAATACCTTTCTCACAATGAAATGCCAGATTTTACAATAAGAAGGTTACAGGCGTCCTTTTTCTTCCAGATAACTTATTACTTATGTCTTATACATCAATTAAAAACAGAATTCTGATCCTCTAAATCGATATTTAAAATGTTTGATTTCCTTCACTAAAAGTATTTTCCTAATTTTTTCCAGCATGAATCAAGGTATGAAACATTCTACGTTAGTTCAACAAACCCAAACCTATGATTAGAGCGACGGAAAAAAAAGTCCATAGAAAGCCCAAGGCTATCAGTGACGTCCAGAACCTGAAGCTAATTAACTGAACCCAACTCAAGTGAAAGCGCTCAACAATTAGCGGACAAATTAAAGGTATTCTCAAATGTTAACACATAGCAGACGGTGTGCTTCCTATACAATCATACGCCCCACCATGAATAACCTGTGTGGGCTCAAAGGGGGTCGTTTTTTTAATAATGGTTTGTTTCGGCACACAGAACGCTTTTGTTATATTTCTGGTCATCAGTCGACAGCTCAACCAATACGCATCGGACGATAAATGCTATATTCTTCGCTTAGAAATAAACAAAAAACCTCCCCACGACTGAGTTCATTGACCAGCGATCAGGCAGAGGGGAAGGGGAAGGAGGAAGGAAGGAGAGAGAGAAAGAAGGAGGACGAGGAGGAGGGGAGGAGGGGGTATAAAATAACAAACCATACTCAGCATAGGCCAGAAAACACTTGGAATTGCTGGTAGCCACATGGTTGCATGATAGACCAAGGCAACAATTAGTAAATAGTAGCAAACATATAACTCGTAACCATATAGCGATTTAGCAAAGTGTCTTCTATAATCCTGTCGCATTTACAATCCCTAAAGTCCTCCACTTATCAAAGAATTATTGTATGTTGTCAAAAAAACAGCAAGTCCACAAACTTTGAAACTTAAGGATCCTTCTAAACGGCAGAGACGCTAAAAACCTCGTCGGCATTATGTGTTAAATTGCTTAGAAAAGTAAAAAGTTCTATGTGATCATTTTACAGATATCATGTTGATTAACGCTGGAGAAAAAAAAAGCGATAGAATGATAAAAATACGATTACAGCAAATAAACTCGAGAGAACTAATTAAAGAGATAAAACCGCAAAGTAAAACTAAACTGATACCTCCCTCCCAAAGGTTTACCGCCTCATCGTGGCTGGGAGGATTCATCCCTTGGCAGAGTCTCCTAAGCTGAGAAGGTGCCTGGCGTTTCCACCAGGAAGCCCATCTAAGAGCAAACCAATACCAGGATCCACCACTGTTCTGGTATCAAAGTCGTATGGTGGCAAATCACCCTCTGATCCATATTAGCGGCGACCGCCTGTGGTGATGACGACCTGGGACAAACCTTCACCAGAGTGACCTCGGGACTCCAGGGAAACACAATGCTCAAGTCAACAAAACTCCGAAAAATAGAGATTATGCTGAGTCCCGCACAACCAGTGAGGATGGGCCAACCACGTATCCAAGTTAGTAAAGTGATACATCCCACACTAATGTATTGAGAATCCTAGCGATCAAAAGGTACCAGAAATACTAGAAACCTTCTTATTGTGAAAGTGGACAACTCACAGTCAACAACTTAGTATAGCAACAAGTAACTCATCCCATTAAAAAAATTTTCCCACAAGCTTTTCACTAAGTCAGAAAGCACTATGGAATTGTATTAGTTACACAGCACAAACGCAAAATCTCACGAATAAGCAAGAAGTGCCGTTACCAACTTTTCATTGACATCGGATAGAAAACTTCGATTCTTAAAAATCTTCATAAGACCTTTCTATGAATGAAGACAATATCTAGATTATGATGACAAATCGACTTACATTAGTATTCCAGGAATGCTTAAATGTGCTCTAGTCGGTCCTGCCAATTGCAGGAACAGTTGATTGCTGAAGACGTTTAGCCGTTCTGTAAATAAAATAATCAGTAAGGACCACCACTTATAATGAAACAATCAGGAAGAAACAGTGGACAGATAAGTACTATAGTTAAGAAACATTAAACAAAGGTGCTTAGTGAAGTGAAACAGAAAACGGAGAGCGTTTCAAGTTGCACGTAATATTTTATGTAAATAGAACTCAATCAGAACTACTATCGATCACGCAAAATTTAAGAAAATGGCAAATAATGATAGTGAAAAGTTCAGAATTCAGTTCTTATCACACAAAATCTCTAGTGAATAGGTTTCACTATTGATAAGAACAATTATATGCTTACTGTTCGTAACGTTTCGGGTCATTTGCTCATAGCGACAGAAAGTGTGGCAGTTATAATAATCCTACTTAAGTTCATTTATAAGACCAGATAGCCACAGTCCACTACGACAAATAAAAATCGGAGATAGAAAGGTGGTCCCACTGAATTCAGTCCTTACTATGAAATTCTAAAATCCCGTTTGTTTTGCATTTTTCGCCAACTAAGACATTTTGGACGAAATTATTGACCGTTTACTTTAGTGAAGCTTTATGACATCGTTCAAACTTTGCTCCAAACTCGACCTTCCTTTAACCTCGGTATGAATAATCAATATGCACTCTTTCCTTGATAAGCTGACAAGAGGCTGACAAACCTGTATATTTTCAACGTAATGTTAGCTTATCAATGAAAGAGTACAATTCAAACTATTAAACTTTTCTTAATCATCTATCTATTCAGACAATACTATGCTGCCATGTCTGATAATCGAAAATCCTTGCAAAAAAGTTTTTCGTTCCACGGATGCTCACGACAAACTTTAGTAAGTTCCAATCAAAGAGGTAGTCGTAGCGAAGTCCTTGACGTTGGAAAAGACTACGAAACAGCTGCCGAAGGTGAGCATAGTCAGGCGTGTCCTCAAATCCTAACGTACGACTATATCGTAGGTACGTAGCAAAAGCTTCTGAAAATGGATGTCAGAAAAATAGATTCCAGAAAACTTAACAGAACCATAGAGATTATCGACTAATTAGGCCCACCTGGATAAGATGCACAAAGTTCTTCGATCGAAGTCGAGATCTTCTTTTCAGAAATTTTATCATACTTTTGGCGTTTTGTTGCCGCTTTCAAACCTTGCCACGGAAGGGTTCCACGATTAAAGTACATCAGAACGTATCCTAGTGATTCGATGTCATCACGACGTGACTGTTCTGAATCATCAGATTAAACACAAGATTTAATCGCTTTGGATCACGGATCTAGATCTAGAATCATTATAACAATGCCAAAAATACAAAGGAATAGAGTCACACCAAAACCACGATAAAATTACCGATTCCACGATGGGTATTGACACTAGCATATCGAGCAGTGCCAGTGAGATTCTTATGCTCTCGATATGGAATGTGCTGAGATCGCGAATCGCGATACTTTTTAGCCAACCCGAAATCAATTATCTTAAAGAAAAAAGAATGAACAGGAAAAGATATAAATTGGTACAACAGAAGCAATAAAGAAAAGTACGATAAGAAAAAAACACAAGAAAAAAGCCTACATATACTAAATTTCCCCGCTTTCCTAAACCCATAAGAAAATTGTCCGGTTTGATATCACGATGAATATAGTCCCGTTGGTGAATGTATTCAACTCGAGCGATCTGAAACACTCGTAGAACGAAAACTTAATGCACCACAACTACAAAAACTTAACACAAACCATCTGATCGGCGAGCAGTAGAACCGTCTTCAAAGAGAATTTTCGCTGGCAAAAATTAAATAGATCTTCTAATGAAGGACCGAGAAGTTCCATGACCATAACATTATAATCACCTTCTAAGCCACACCACTTCACCTAAAATATAGAAATAGTTGTTACGGCACTTAAGGATAAAAATGATACATTTTGCAGCGAGTTTGCATTATTTTGTCTTCAATTTCGAAAAACGATGCAAAACTTAATGATGCATCCTACAAAAACATACGTCAGGAATTCCTACTCCACCAGACATAACGCGATAAAGTCTGGCTTCGATATGGAGCTGCGGGTGTTTCGACTTGATGCATTCCAACTTCACTGCCACCTCCTCATTGGTTTGCACATTAAGACCTGAGATTAGAAATGTTTTTTAAAAAATGGGCACCAAATTCTGTCAATCCAGTTTCAAATCTTTTCAATCTTAAAGGATAAAAGAATAAAGTTTTCGATGTTGATCAATCCTTAAGGGATGCGCCATGAATTCGATTTCATTAAGCATCGCTGTAGGTGAATGAATGCATATTTAGCCTTTACAATGGCTCGCGATGGCATACCAATATATCGAGCCAGTGCTGCTATCCTGCCAGACAAGTCTGGTACCAATTTGTTGACCCCGCAGGGACGGAAGGATTGGTGGGCCACAGGCGCGCGGATCGATTCCACGCGTGTGTTGCGGGACACCGCCAACCACTGCGTTATGTGCCCCTTTCTTTCCAATCTCATATAAATAAATATATATGTATATATCTACGATTTTCTACTGAACTATAATGTGAGAAAATAGTAAAGTGGATCCATTCCCAATCTGATCAAACATTTCAGTATGTTTCCAGAAGGTTCAGTAGTAGTTTACGATATAAACACAGCATTCATATCCTAACATATAACTTTCTCACCTCCTTGAAGCATGTTAAAAAAAACTTATTGAGCTAGAGCACAAGCTGTTGCCGTATTTAACTGGATTTCCGTCTTTGATCCTATTTATGAACACAGTCTTAGTCAAACAAATGTGAATGTGAAGTAGAAGAAAATTTGAAAACCACAAATCGGCGAGAATTTATGTCCCAACCTAATATGATCGTATATAATTAGAGAAAATAACAAGCAAACCTAAATATATGTCACCGAATGAGCCACTCCCGATCTTTCTTCCGAGCCTGAATCGTCCACCGACCCGCAGCTCCATCTGCATATCGGCTAAAAAAAATCCAAAAATCATTTGCGTATTCTAAAATCAGGTTGAATAAACTTTTCCAATTTTAATGAAGGCTTATCCTAGGACTTGTAAAACTGCTAGATCTACAGCCGGAAACATACTAGCAACACATTTAACATTTCTATTAGTCGACAACACATCTTCTCAATGATACGAACACCTTAGCGACAATCCATAATTTTTTCATCGATTACTTAAACCATTACATGCATTACTTATATCCGCTAAATGACGTCATAAGTACAAGTTATATGGCTCATACTGTATCGATTGTGGTAAGAAATTACATGTAAGAGTGTATGAGAAGGAAAGTGAAGCAATCACATTGAGTACGTTCTCATAAATGTGATATATTGAAGCGCAAAACTTATCAGCAGCCCATCAAATTAATAAAGAGAAGAAAAGGGATAAAAAGACAAATTTCCTTCTTCAAAAAATTTGCTACGATACATATTATAAAAAACTTTCCAAAAAAATCACTATTACTATTCTACTAAAACAAATACTAAACAAAGTCTTTTATTATGCGTCACTAGTTTACAATCAAAACATAAACGTTTTCGAAGAACAGCTTTCTAATTCCTGAATAACTCTTACAAAACCCTTTTATATTGTACCTAACATTTTAGTAACTGTACTAAACTTATGAAACAATACCTATTTAAGCATTTGGTTCCTACTTGCTAATTTTAAATCACTTTCTCTTCTCTTTTTCAAACAACAACGTCTGGAGAGAGGTAGCAGTTTTCTGAGCACTTCATTAACAATAAGCAATGTAAATAGTAAGGCGATGAAAATATAAAAAACTAAAACCCGGACAATAAAACGAATATTTCAGTGTTCAGAAGACCGTTATCATATTTACTTCTTATTTCACAACACTGACCCTGACATTCACCTCTGAAGTTGAACTAGTGCACAGTGGTCGGGCACCAGTCTAAGTTATCTACAAAATTACAGCGGTTACAATGGTTAGTGGTTAGATGACTGTGGAAGAGGACAGAACAAGGACAAAACGGATGGAGAACTGAACAGAACTATTTCAGCCACATCTACTAACGAAATCTACTTGTTTTCGATTACTCTACATGTCACTACCATCAACCTTCTTACAAACTGATCTCTCAGGGCTACTGCACTCATATCACTCGTCAACCATTATGTTGAGCTAGTGGTTCCTTTAAAATAAGAACAAAACACTTAACAACAAACACCGTTATCTATGGGAACAGCGAACAACAAACGATGATAAGGAGTGATGACATACAAAGGATAAACAGAGCTTATTACAGGAAATGTGTTTAGTCGAAAGAAGTACCAGCTTATGACACCGCTACACTTTAACTCCGAACAAAAAACGAAAAAAGGACTTATTGTGAAGCATACGGGCGCGGTCGGAGAAGTGGTTCGATACATCTGCGATCGATTCCCGCACCTAAGGCTCATCAAGCCTTCCATCCGTCCGAGGTCGGAAATTAGTAACAGACTTGTCTGAGAGGATAGCAGCACTGGCCTGATACATCGGTAGGCCACCGAGAGTCATTGCAAAGACAAGATAAGCGTTCAATCACCTCCAACGATGTTTAACGTAGTCGAGTGCATAGCGCATTTCGCATGGATTGATCAACGCCGACAACCTTATCCTTTTATCATAAAGCAACAATTACTTCCAAAAGTGTTTGTAGATCCAAAAAAATCGCTTAACTCTGTAATATGAAGAGCAGCACGGCCACTTTTATGACAAACTCATGATAAACTCATCCTAATTGCTATAGACATACATAATGTTGCGGTTGTTAACCAGTAATTTTCGTAAGATATTCTGAGTTCAAAAAATGTTAGGCTAAAAAGTAGACATGAGAAGTTATTTCACATTGAAGACCAACCACTTAACCAACTAACATTGGAAATGCCAACCAAATCAAAGCCATTTAAAAAACCGTCTCAGTCTTTGAATCTACTAGAGTACAAGTTACCTTTCATTGAAACTCTTAACGAATTCTCCTTCTGTTTACAACAACCAAGTACATAATAAAACATAACATAAGCACTACGTTTCGACTAATGTGACCACACGAGAGTAAAACATCACTGAAGTACACAAGAAGCAAAACATTAAGCTATTTTGAATTATAGTAAAACAATATACGCAAGCCTAAGTGTTCCACTCTGCTTTTTATTGGCTACAGATCTATAAACTAACAACTTCGGAGATTATTTCTTTAACACGTTGACAACTTAGCCCATTTTTTCGATAAATGGAGGATTAAGAACACAAAGAACTTATGACAAATTTTCTTCTATTGCTCTAAATCTGTAAGCAATCTCCACAAAGTGTCCATTTTATTTTGAACTTTCGACTTAAAATCAACCATTTATACGATAAAAAATTAGCGACTAACAAGAGCTTAGCAAACACTAGTCAACTTCATTCCGACCAGTTGCGACCTATACATCAGTCCTATTGCCACATCTACCCCGTAGCGAAAAACTCATATCTTCTCTAATAGAGAAAAAACACTGAAGCAATAGCTTAAGAAAGAAATAATGTGGCCAACCTACCTCGTCGATGAACTTGAGGAATTCGATCGTCAATGAAGCGCGAAAATAGAACTGGATCCAGAGCGAACGCCAAAGAAGCGAGGCGTACTGTTGTGATAGGATCCATTATGTGTGGCCAATGTGAGATGGTGGGCGTGCAGATGGAAGTGTCCTGCTGAAGCCATGTGCATGGCCCGCCAGACTGATGAGTGGGCCAGCTCAGTGCATCAGCGTATGCTGAGGTCCGTAGAGATGAGAGGTAACGTAACGCGCAGTCGAGGCACACTCCCTCCAGCTTATACTAAATGGAACACTAAGTGCTAGGTTGATGCTAATATCGCAGTAACACTTCTGATTCTTGACAGCCAAGCGAGAAGAAGCAGCAACCGAAGAAACCAGAGAAATGATGAAAGTGAAAAATACGAACGGCCTTTATGCTTATGATATGTGGCTATGCGTGAGAACAGAACGCATCGCGAAAGCAGCAAAGAAGCAGTTCGCGTTTGAAAGGCGAAAGTAATGGGCGGGGATATATGAGATTGTCGCGATGCTTAGAGTGCTACAAAGCAACGGAGTGCAAACCAGCCCGGTTCGACGGTCAGAACCTACGGAGGCGTTCCGACTAGTTCCTATACAACAACGCAGGCTACACCAAACGCACACGACTCCCTGACAACGACCTCACTAGAAGGTAACGTTATCAGAGAGGAAAAAAGGCATAGGACTTTTTATCAGCCATCCTAGAACCACAAATTCATTCAACGCAAGAGCAATTCCATATATTGCTGTTCAGTGTGGGATAACAATATATGAAATAAGTGCTATATAAGATGAGCGACTTGGAAGAGGGGTGCTATGGAACTGACGGAGTGAGACCGTCGATATCAACTGGAAAAACCATACCAAGTGATCCATTAAATCAGGAAAGTGCCAACGACAAGAAATGAAACATCAAGAAGAAAACAGGTTCAACAAGTGCTTCACGAACATGATGCGTATGAAATTTCTTCCAAAGACAGGAAGCATCCAGCTATTTAAACAGAAGAAAGGCAAGAAAATCGAAGCGCATTCTATTTGATCGAAAACAATAAGTATCATGAAGACTATCACAAATGTTATCACATAATTCGACAGTCTATTAGCTTGGAACTGATGCTTCACATCTTAAATAAGTGCCTATTACGAACCAGTTTCAGATCAATATCCACTACAACACCAAAAAAGGTTCTGTGACTCTCAACACACTGTGACAAATCGGCTAGTGACACCAAACATCATTTGCGATTGAGCTTCACGTGAAGCTAGAAAAAAAATTCACGATGAATTACCGTTTTTTCACTGTGGTATGCATACTTCACGTACACTCATACATTCGATGAACTGTTATTGTTGCCGTAGTCAAGGTCGTATATGACACTTGCATAGAACGCGATATCATCGCGTTCTATGAGACAAACTTCGTCACGTTTTCACACTATACTGAATGCTACCATCAGTGAATGAATCACGAAATTCTAATCATCGAGCGATGTTCGCCGAAACGATACAGTTTTCCGGATGCACTGTGCGAGCTGCGTGACTACGACAACCGCCACCGCAAAGGCGCCGACGAACCTCACACCTCCGAAGGGATGGTAAATCACATCCCCTCACAAATAATTAGTATAACGGTTTTTTATGCTGTTCCAACGTTCAGGAATGAAATGAACATGTTAAATACGATCAAAGCAACTGCGTATCTGAACACAATAAGCATTGCGTGAAGCTTAGTGTGGCTATGTTCACAGCAAATAGTAAAGTCATGAAGGAAGAGAATTTTTTAAAATGTGCAGACGCTAGTTTAGTTTAACGCCGAAAAACAGGCACTTAAGAAAAATTGCTGGTTTAACAAAGAACGAGAATGTCCTTAAAATTAAGAAGTAAAAAAGATAACTTCGATACCCAAATTCTAAACTAAACACGATAAAGGATAAAGCTCTCGGCGTTGATCAGTCCCTGAGGGACGCGCCATGCATTCGACTTCATTGAGTATCACTGGAGGTAATTGAACGCAAATCTGGCCTTTACAATGACTCGCGGTGGTCTACCGATGTATCGAGTCAGTGCTGCTATCCTCCCAGACAAGTCCGGTATCAATTTGTCGACCACGGAGGGATGGAAGGGTTTGTGGGCCATGGGCGCAAGGATCGATTCCACGTGTGCGTCGCAGTAGCGCCTCCAACCACTGCGCCACACGCGCCCTTGACTAAACACGAAAACAATATTAATTCCCACGTCCTTTAGCCTATATGGTATAGATTTCAGTTTATTTAGCTAAGGAAGGGTGTAAAGAATGCGGTGTCACCTGAGCTTATATTTAAGAAAATAACACTCCTCCAAAAAACAGAGTTTTCTGAACTATTTCAAACCACTGAAAAAATCTAGGAGAA